TTTTACAGCAGGTAGGATAACACTTACCAGTTTCAGAATTGTCGGCTGCTTTATGGTTTTATCTATTTTTTTCTCGCAGCCAATCACATTACGTTTTCGATTACAAGAAGAATAACGCCGAGTATAGAAAATCAAATGCGTGCTTTGACAAAAAATGCCCTCAGGTTAATATTTGAAAAACAAGTGTGAAATACACCTTCAATATTAAATGCACATAAAACGTTTTTGAAACGCTCGTGTTTTGCAAAATTAAGATAATTCTGTAATATACATAGAATGAAAAGTAGAAAAAAAACTTTAAACTCAAAATGTTCCAAGAAATTATTTATGATCTTTTTAAAATTTCATTGCGGACTTAAATGGACATTACTTGATTTTCCGATTGTTTTGCATTACTATTGTTGTATATAAATCAATTCAGGACATATTTGTGAAAATTAGCTTTCTTATCAAGTACGATAAGAAAATGGCATAATTTTAGTCTGCCCTTAAATAAAAGGGCGGACAACTCTTTGTCCCTTTCTCCCACGAGAAGGGGAATCCTGTGATGCGTGTATGTGGTCGCACGGTCACTTTCCTAACAACATGTTCTCGATGCATGTATGTGGTCGCATGGTCGAAAACCTCTTATACTGTTTAACCCTAAATAACGAGATTTAAAAGCCTAATTAGAACATTGATTCTTCTGTTTAGAAGTTTCAAAAACCTAATAATGACTTTTAATTAAAAGGTATAAAAAGCCAAATTAAGAATTCGATTCTCCTAAATAGGAGATATAAAAAAAACCTATTTTCAACATTTAGCTACCAAATACAACATTTTATAATAATAAATTCTCTCTTAATAAGGAGAAATAACAACTGTATAACTCTTAAGAAGTTCATAAAACCTAATTAGGAGAAATATAAAAAAATATTAGGAGATAATAAGGCGGAGCTTCAAAAAACTAAATATAACCTTCTTATTAGGTTTTCTCTACCAAGAACAAATAAGAATTTAATATCTCCTAAAATGTTTTAAAACTTCCAATGAGGACATGCAAAGTCCTAATTACTTATTATTAAAACGTCACACCAGCACAGTAAGGTCATAAAGCAATTTTCCAGAACACCTCTGGTTCCCCCTCCTACTTGAGTAGAACCGCAGACGTTCTGTTAGCTAGCTGGATAGTTTCCACACATTAAATAACCCTAAGTCCCTGGTGCAAGTCTAACTCACTGTGGTGAGGGGCAAGTAGAAGGATACTAGTCTTAGTTTCAAATTTGTAAAAGTGACAAAGTAATATAATAAACCTTTTATCTGCACCAACATTTAACGTAGCTGCATCAAATATTTTTTAAAATGACATTAAAGTGCAATTGTCTATCATGGAAAGCATACAATATCATAAATATTTATGCTGATAGAATTTAAATATGATAACAAACCATGATAGAGTTATATATGCCAATGTTGACAGTAAAATGTTCTACAACAATATATTGGTAATTCATCATATTATGAATCATGTAAAACTGGAGAAAAAAAATTTCTTTAAGAATTGTTTTGTTAGAATATCTAAATGATACGTTTCAATTGTTTGAAAATGCACCCATTGTAAACCAATTCACGTTAAAAACATTTTTTGATCTTCAGTCTGTAGAGTATCTTAATACACTTGTTACTATATATAGTAACAAAATTGCCTATGATTTCAACTGATTATGAGTGTCACGTGACCTATTATGAGTTTGCGGCCCGGGGCCGAGAACTAGTTATCAGCCCGCAGAACATGTGCACGTGCACAAACTGAAACAATGACGTCATATTTTACGTCATCAAACAGTTAACTGTGAAAGTGAAAGTAGGTTGTCAGCACGAATCGCTTTATTTTTATTGTGAGAGCTTAAGCGTATTTAGTACAAACACATATTTGTTACTATTGAAATTTGAAGAAATAATACGACAAATTCATTCCGAAAAAAAAATGAAAATAAAACTTGCTTCTAGATTCTACTGCTTTGAACACACAAAAAGTAAACATCTGTACAGAACAGTAGAAGAGTACAGTAGACAAGAATTTCAACGAAAGAACTTCAAAGTAGATCTAGATCCTATTTGTTTTTGTTTTTTTTGTTTTTTTTTAATGCTACCAGATCTATTAGATTTACCAAGTGTATTAAAGACATTAATACACGTCAGAGTAGGGCCAGAAGGTGATAATCGGCCCTGAATGAATAATGGCCCTCGGGCTAAAGCCCTCGGGTCCATTATTCATTTTGCGGGCCGATTATCACCTTCCGGCCCTCTCCTGCCGTGTATTAATCTCTTATTAATACACTTGTTACTATATATAGTAACAAAATTGCCTATGATTTCAACTGATTATGAGTGTCACGTGACCTATTATGAGTTTGCGGCCCGGGGCCGAGAACTAGTTATCAGCCCGCAGAACATGTGCACGTTCACAAACTGAAACAATGACGTCATATTTTACGTCATCAAACAGTTAACTGTAAAAGTGAAAGTAGGTTGTCAGCACGAATCGCTTTATTTTAATTATGAGAGCTTAAGCGTATTTATTCTTGCATAGCAGACTGGCGTTTCCGTGAGTTTTACCCATGCCGGAAATTTCATCTGGCATGGGGGGTGCCAGATGAGTCGCGTGCCAAACAACAACGTCATTTTAGCGCCATTTATGAATGAACCGCGTTAAAATGACGTCGTTTTAGAAGGGAAATATGTCTTAGGATGACGTCATTTCGCCGTTGTTATTTAAGTTGTAAGTTCATACGCTATTGTAATAAATAAGTTCTGGATGAAATGACTTTAATTTCCATGAACATATATCATATTGAGGTAAACCATTTTAAATATGAAATAATATGGCAGAATATGCAAGAAAAAATATCTTTCATATGTTTGCGGTTCGGATCGGAATATCCGTCCCTCGGGAACCCGCCCATGGGCAGATTCTACTGCTTTGAACACACATACTGGTTGGAGAAATAACTCCGACACTAAATCACATATTTTTTGCAATATTTTAATTATCTTCCAGTATATTTTAAATATTGAACCACCTAAACAAAGTTCAGTTCAAAGGCTTTACATTACACCACAAAAACTATATATGAAAATGGAATCTGGTACTTCTTGAAGGTCTTGAATGAGGTATACAAAACATGGTCTTTTTACCCCACAACAGTAGATAAAGTCGACACTTAAATTTTTAAGTAAAAAATGACTGGAAAATCAGCATCAATAATTTATTTTTACATCTTATATGGTTTATCTATTTTTTGTAAATATTTAAACAATTTTTCAAAAATCTTTCCCAAGTCAGTGGCCTGTGGTCAATACATTTCTAACTACCTTACTGTAATTTAGTAAAAAGAATGTTTTGAAGCAGTTTTTGCCTACAAAAAGTTTAGGTTATTTGAAAAACATTAAAAAGTCTACCAAATTATAACAAATCATCACATTCTGTCCTGTTCCTATACTGTTAGGTGATCATGTGCATATTTGTTGAAAAACAAAGCTAAAACAATTATATTTATCAAGTGACGGGGTTATCTATGCGTCGGAGTTATCTCTCCGACCAGTACAGTAGACTCTAAACATCTCTGTACAGAACAGTAGAAGAGTACAGTACTGTAGACAAGAATTTCAACGAAAGAACTTCACAGTATTTGTTGTTGTTTTTTTCTTTTTAAAAAAAATGCTACTATTAGATCTACCAAGTGTAGATCTATTAAAGACATTAATACACGTCAGAATAGGGCCGGAAGGTGATAATCGGCCCTGAATGAATAATGGCCCTCGGGCTAAAGCCCTCGGGTCCATTATTCATTTTGCGGGCCGATTATCACCTTCCGGCCCTCTCCTGCCGTGTATTAACCTCTTAACAATGCACTCAGAATTGATATCTATTTCCTAAATAAATAATAAAAAATAAAAAAAGATAGTGGAATAAATGAGATGAAGTAACATAAGTAAATCAAATAAATAAAAACGTATTATCATTACGCAGTTTGGTACACGAAGGAAGGAAAAAAAAACAACAGAACTTTTTAAAGCCTGTTTCTTTTCTGCCATGAAGTTGATTACTTAGCGCTTTACCGATTGAACTATTGCGACATTTGTTACGTCAAACGTCCGACAAATTACGTCGTGCAACATCTTATATATGTATTAAGATGGACTGTTCCGTACTATTAATAAACATGAAGAAACTTCATGCTCGGATTATACATGCACTAAATGCGTAAGATATCCTGCTTACAAGGAAACAAAATTTATACCAATTATTGTGACGTACTGTAAAAGTAAGGCCGCCTACAAGACAGATTAAGTTTGGAATAACAAATATTCTTATTTTTCTTTTTTGTATGTATGTAAGGCCATTAGTTTTATTTTTAAAGCAGTATGCCTCCAGTTTATGTTTATTTTCATGAAAATTTTGAGGTGTCAAAATATGCAAAGCTTATCCTTACTGTGTTAGTCACGTAATTGAAATATGGTGATAAATACTGCAAAATAAGTCATTAAATGCATAAAGCATATAAATTATTACTTGAATACTTCTTTGATTTTCTTGAAATATTCTGTCGCTCATCTGGTGGCATGCAGCTTTAAAAATGAATTCGTCATATATGTAAAAAGATCATAAACTATAAGATCATACTGTAACAGTATGATAATTAGAATCAGTTAAGTAAACATCCGTTTACATAAAACAATTTGTTCATTCGGCGATGAAACTAAGAATTGAATCTACATAAACACATTTATTTAAATTATTGTAAAATATGATTACGTATATTTTTTTGATCTATCTGACGTTTTCTGTACTTTGTATTGTACTGTCAAAATGATATGTGGCGATGAACATGTATGTGTTTTTGCCAATAAATTATTTGACTTGTCTTGATCATGGGTAATAAAATGTATTTTTTTATAGATGGCTATATAAATCACAGCATCACAGTAACCATTGTCTATCTAATTTTGCAGGCACCAAGGCAAGGTCCCTCAAAGCTATCAAGCTACTTGTACGTCAAAGACATGGTACATACGCACGACTTAGTTAATAGTGTACAATATACAAATGGACTGAAGTATCCGTTAATTACACTTATGAATGAGCAGCAGATTGATGATTTAAAACGTTTTTGTGCAACTGGCAGAACAGTTTTGGGCGTCAATAAAACGTATGATCTGGGTGGTTTCCGGGTGACGCCCACTGTTTATAAAGATCTGTCTGTAGTACGTACAACAACACGAGAACATCCGATCACTTTCGGCCCAACGTTCATTCACACGGATTCAAGTTGGCTGACATACAATAAATTCTTCCACGGCATTGATATCAATCTTTCATTAGATGACTTGAAGGATGAATTCATTGATGACTTGAGTAAACTAGTTATAGGCTCCGACGAAGATGAAACTTTAAAAGAATCAATACGAAGATGTTTTCGTAGGTCCACACACACACTTTGCACGCAAAATCTACAGGAAAATACCTTGAATTACATGGAAAAGAAAGTAGGATATTCAAAGTCAAATCGACAACGCATAACATCAGCAATTTACGGTGAAGATGGACTTTTATTCGCGGGTGATACAGACACTTTTGACTTCAGATTAGAAAAACTCAAAGAAAAAATAGCTTCCCTTGATTCGAAAACTCGGAAAAAATTTATGCCGTACTTCAATGATAAGCTACTTCCATTGTTGACTGAATTTGTTATCAATCCAGCAAACGACGACAAAATTCAACGCGGGTGGACAAATAACAAGTGCGAATCAGCAAACCATATTTTCAATACTGAGTGGAGACTTAAAGATGTTCCTACATTTATCAATATGTTTGGTGACATTGTCAACCGAGATCGTATCGAGAGAAGCGGCGCAATTCATGGTATGGGCGGTTACGAACTTTTTGATCCAATTCTTCACCACAAGGTAGATTCAGACAAAAGGCCAAACGTGTCCGAAGATGAATTAAACCGAAACGTCATTGTTCCAACAAATGGTCTCAGAACACTCAGAAAAACACCTACTGCTGGAAAAAGAGCAAACCAAGGTAAACGTAAACGAGTAGGAAGATCGCATTCAAGAACCAGTTCCGAAAACCATATAGTGGTGGCATAGTTGGAATTATTTAAGGTATGTTTCTTTTCTTTGTTGTTTATTGTTAATCCATAAAGATACAGTAGATTATTTTATTTTGCATATTTATCATTACGTTTACTTAATTGTGAAGACGTGCTACTTAAGTTTTCCTTATATAAGTAAACGTATTTTGGTTTGATTTAAACATCCATGTATTTTATTCATCAAACATAAGTACAATTTTTACATGAGATTTACAATCAATAATAGACTGGAAGCAACTTAATGCTCGTTGAGGTCTTTTCCAAATGTAATTTCACATGACGTCATTATTAACGACACATGACGCATATCTAACACATTTGTTCATCATTTTCAAAGAATTAAAACGTATAAAATAAATAGCATAAAAAACGATAGATGACTAATTTAGTAATACATTATTGTATTTCTTTTTCTTACAGAGGCAAAAGACAAGCCCAAGCTTGATTGCAGTAGGAAGAAAGCGCCATGACAATGTTTTTTCATAGAATGTGATTCATTTAGCAAATATTTGCAGGAAGTGCTTCTGGACGTTGTGTTGACTTTGATATTGAGTGTACATTATAAGCCGACTTTATCGGATACTATACATACTGCATATCTTCCCTTGCTTATTTCTTGTATAAATTTGTAAATATTTTATGTTGAAATCTGTAATGTTGTCATGTCCTTACGTTTATGAATGTCTGTATAATCTTTTATTGTGTCGCATTATGTTCAAATGTAAACACGTTTAATTCATTATTTGCTATTACTATGTGTTTTCATTACATGTTGTATATCACCCTATGAACTTTTAACATGTACGTGCTCATCATTATTATTATTTATTATTATTATTTATTATTATTATTTATTATTATTATTATTATTTATTATTATTATCATCATCATTATTAGTATTATTATTTTAGGTGAAGTTAAATGTCATATGAAGTTAGTTGATTCTTTCGCAATTTTCGTTCAAGTTACATTGCATGTTTCATGTTGTTAGCATCTTGCAATATTGATTTGTTTTCTTGGCTTTATATTATCTGTACTATTGTTAAAATTATAAAAATTTGAAATAAGTAACGTATCATTGTTTTCATGTTCCTGTGTACAGTTCTTTTTTTTATATTTCTTTGCACTTCTTTTTCTATTCATTTGTATTAAAAAAAACAAAAACAAAAAAAACAACAACATGTGTTTTCTGTAATATTTTTCGTAAGCTTAATCTTATTTAATATTACTCAATTAAAGATACAAACTGTATATATTCCTTTTGAATTACGCTTAAACAAGTTCGAATTCGAAATAATTTCAGATATATATGTTTAAAATTGCTAAATAAAATTTTTCATTTTTATATCAATTTTTGTTTACCATTATGCAATTAAAATTAGGATGGGTTACGGCGTGATGTGACCTGGATATTATTTTTGCAAAATCAATCCATTAATTGTATTATTGAAGTATATTAACTGCGAAATTTTATCTCAGAACATTTATGATATACTTGATATACGTGTTAGAAATTTATGGATAAAACATTTTTGTTATCTCTTATCCAATGTTCTCTAGAATAGATATTTATGGACTATTATTATGGCTTCATGTACATATAAAGAAATAAAGTTGAGAGCATGTATTTGTCTTTTAAATTCATTGTCTTTGGTATTTGCATTCGGATTAAAAGCTTATACAAATCGGTATTTGGTTGACAATGAAGTAATACAGCCAATAAAGACCACCCTTTAATAAAGATTATCCTGTAAACAAAGGTCACTCTCTACCAACCCTTCATTGTCTGTATATAACACCCAAAAAAGACCACCTTTTCATAAAGGCAATGTTCAGTCTATCCCTTAGATGACCTTTCTTCACAGACTTGACTGTAATGTCATCTAGAATTTTTATCCATGGCTTAAAATAATGAATTTTTTTTGCATGATACATAACATTTATACATAGATACATAAGAAAAAAATATTGGTAGTCCATTATAAGAGAATGACTTGTATATGAGCCGCGTCATGACAAAACCAACATAATGGGTTTGCGACCAGCATGGATCCAGACCAGCCTGCGCATCCGCGCAGTCTGATCAAGATCCATGCTGTTCGCTATCAGTTTCTCTACTTGTTATAGGGTTTGTAAGGGAACAGCATGGATCCTGATCAGACTGCGCGGATGCGCTGATCCATGCTGATCGCAAACCCATTACGATGGTTTTGTAGTGACGCGGCTTATGTGGTATTTACATTCAAAGTCAGGATTCAGACTCTCCTTCAATATTAGGTGTAATTTAGAACTTAATCCGTAAAGTACCGGACAGGACATAGCCAAGGGTTTCGAAAAGTTAGTAAATTAGTAAAGTGAAGTGACAGGAGTAACAGACGCGATGAATTTGGCACAGAAATTTATCCTCTTAAATTAAAATTATTTTATATTTGTTTATTTTACTAGATTGTCTACTTTTTTCAAGGAAAACATTTTTGGTACTAATTCTTAAAAAGTAACGCCATGTCAAAGCACTGTAATATATACGGAATGAAAAGAATTTAACGTTACCTATTATCCCCTTTACCCAACAATTTTCATCTTGTTCCTCCGAATGTTGGGCTATTGCATAAAATTTTTCCACCTAATGGAAGAGGTACGAGATAAAAAATACTCCTTGTCATTCTACCCGTAGACAAACACAAACTCTCGATTAAGTGGAGTCCTCCTTGGCACCCATTGGACAAACAACAAAAAATCACCACATATTCCAGGGGTATTAAGAGAAAAGGAAATAGTCAGAAAATTTTATTCTTTTGAAATCCAAGTTAACATGTTTAGAATCATGCACCTAGATTATTTTATCTTTAGATCATCAATGCATTTGTGATACGTCACATATTATAGTGTATATATTGCAATTACTAACTTCTCAATAGAACATCGGTGATGAGTCCAAAGAATTGACATGTGAGCAAACGGCCTATAAAATGGCCAACACGTTCACGCCGAAAGAATTAGGCTAGTAGGCTAGTAGGTTCGATGACGGTGTTTTGAATTCATTTATATATCAAAATAGAAAAAGAATAAATTAAAAATAGGAACCACTGAAATAATTTACAGTTCGTTATGTAGCGAGTCGATGTTTTTACATTGGACCTTTGAGTGTGACCCTAACCTTTAGGGTTGTGACTTGATAATTGGTGCTCTGCCAATGATGTCATAATGATAATCATTTCTGCCAAGTTATCGAAACATTGCAGCGGTTTAAATGTTATGGACAGACACGAAATGAAGACTTAATTAATGTGACCTTGACCTTTCGGGTAGCAATTCAATTATAATAATTGCGCTCTGCACATTGTCTCATTATGGTGATCACTTGTGCCAAGTTATTTTAAAAAAAGTTTTAGCTGTTAAAAAGTTATTGAGCGGACAGGAAATGTAGACTTTTTATTATGAAGTGAAGACTTTTTAACATTTGACCTTGACCTTGGGGTAGCAACCCAATATTTGCGCTCTGCACTTCGTCTCATTATGGTGATTACTTGTGCCCAGTTATTTTTTAAAAGAAATCAGCGGTTTAAAAGTTATGGAGCGGACCTGAAAGTGTTACGGACAGACGGATAGACGAACGGAGTGACAGACGGAGGCGGAGGGTGATTAAAATAGACGAAAAAGAAAAGATTATCTACTTATATTATTATAACAAACATTAGTGCAACGTGGTCTACATGTACTTTGATATCTAGCTTTTGCTATGTAGGGGATACACATAATGATGTGCGTCAACCCACACGACACCAACGGATAATTGAAAAAGTCATACACGTAGTCTTGCACACATATAAACAAGCAAACGTAAAAGATATTCAGTAATTTATTAAAGCCCACATTATACAATACATGTATCAATTACATACACAATTATACCAGTAGTTGTCAATATATAAATATATAATTGGACAAGACTAAATAACTGATAAAGATATATAAATAGTATTTGATGCTATAGCATGTATACATGACTGTAACAATAGGCATATACAAAAATATAAGTGACAAAACTTCCAACTTAAATGCAAGTGCTCGTGTGATATACGGCAAACTGTTTTGTTGTGTTTTTTTTAAAACTATTTTTAACCCAATTCTTGCGCAAATGTTTTAATTGACAAATCTTGTTCTGCTATCTATATAGTATATGATATACATGTATAAACAATACATTAAGTCTACTAAAACTGAGAAGCAGATGTCAGTATAGCACCGTCTTATCAGAGACACGCAGACTGGCCGATCAGACTACGGGCAGGTACACTGGGTGGGGATGGTTGGCGGGCAGGGGGGTGTGCTACAAAATCATTATTGCTATCAAGCACATACTTGTTGTCTTTTATCATAGTATTGTAATTGCTTTGGATATTTGCTTTAAAATTTGTAAATTTAATATAAATTGTATTTTATATTGTATTTGTATTATACATGTGCAGTAAAATATATATTTGTTTTAGATAGATATCAAAAATAACGGTAGGTTGATAATCCATACAAATCTCTTTTGTCTACATAATCGTCATAGTCGTTTCTCGGACGGTAGTACGGGCGTCTGTAGTCGTTCCTCCAGTCTACAGCGTTCTTCCAGTCTACAGCATAAATGTTTCTTGGCGGGATATCACTTTCCCTAAATAAGTAAGAAACATGTATTTAAGTGAAGATGTCCATAATTGGTATGTTTGTGATACCATAAATACTGATCACACATGACGACAACAAACCACAAAACAATCTATTGATGCTGATGGAATTGGTTTGAGATACATACTCCGATTTTAGATATATACAGAGTACAGCAGATAATAAAATATTCTAGAATAAAATGTTATCATTCATTATGTAATGGAAAAGAGTATTGAAACACCAGGCTATTTGATATGTAGGGGGGAGGTGTGGGGGGCAAAGCCCCCCCAGTCCCGAGTATAAATCAGATTGCCGAGTGTTTTAATGTTCTTTCTTTTTTGTTTAAAAGGCAAAAATTAAGACACGTCTGTTGTCACAATATGAAACCCTAGAAAAAGTAACAAATGAACGAGCATCTGAATATGATTTTTCTATCGCTATCCCTTTCATTGTCGTCACAATAAGTAAACCCCAGAAAAAATGAGCCAATCAACGGGCATGCTCTGGCGGGTAACTAATACTTGCAATATGTTTGTGTATCGGACACAATTTCAACAGAAAGGTCCTCAAGCTATGATACAAATAAATGTTTAAACATAATCACTTTGAATACTATCTATATCTTTTTTTCAAGAAATATTACTGAAGAATATTCAAATGATACATTTTATTGTTTTTATTGTTTTTAATCACTTTTTGAAATAATTATGGAATATGTGCCCATTGCAGATGACTCAGAAATGTGTGTACATTATACATGTATAATTATACACGTATAAAGTGAAGCATAAGTTTTAAAGTAAAGTAACCATGGTTCGAGAGCATTTTAAATGATCGTCACATAGCTAATGTAGCCCTAGCATTGGAAGTAAAATAATTTGTAAGTGTAAACAAAGTGGTTAAAACATATAATACCTCTTTAACCATACAGATTGACAAAATGCTATAAAAGCAATAGATGAGTTAGCTTAGTTGTATGACTAAAACGTTCTCTTATTGAAAATAGAAATGCACACCACAAATAAAAATTCTTTTGAAGAACAGAAATAATGGTATTTTTTTTTGCTAAATGGGCATTTAACAATTATTCCAAAATACTAATATTGAAGGAACAATGCTGAAAGTAAGATTTTATTTGGAATG